AATGTAACCATGTGTCACAAATCTCCTCTGCGACACTTGTACTATCAAGGCTAGCAACTACTAACCTACTTACTGTCACCGACTATTCTTCAAACTAACTCTTGATGAATAGTACAGACTAAGACTAACTTTCTTAATCTCAGTGAGAGACTATTCGATAGCGTTTAGAGTTACTTTATTATTTATCAGCTCAGATCACTAACTAGATCAACTGTAAAAAACTCTCTATGTGTTTGGGCCGTGACCCTTTATATATCTTTCCAGTGTTTTGCTGGCGCACGGTCACACTAAATAACTTCTATGCATTAATACCTTCTTCTTCATCATTGGATTAGCGGTATTTAATTCATGTCGCGAGAAGGTTTCTACTAAAATAACATATTTTCCTTTGATAAAGCAACTAAATATCGATTAATAAATTTATATATTGGGGGCATTTCAAGCTGACTACCACAAATTTATGTCCTTGAGTGTAAACTAGGGATTATTTATCGGTAGATTTGCTGGTTTCAATGATAGAATTGTGCATCGTAAAGCAAATTCGACCAGTCTAGTCGACAAGTTTAATTCAAATAAAACTTATAAATGAGCTCGTTCTCGTATTGATACTCCATTTGATCATCCTACAGGCAAACATCGAATCAATTTACACGGCAGCTTTTTAAGTTTAGAAAATGCAAGTTTCAAATAATTCAGCTTTCTAGTAGCCTACGTAAAGTAACGTATGTAAATAGAGGTATCAGTTCTTAATTATCGTATTCATTTTCCTATAAAAGTTTAGAATGAATATTTAGTAATTAACCCTTTATTTCGTGCAGCCGCTCTAATGGATTGACTTTATCATATATCTCTTACGTTTAAACAATGTCCTTATAAGCCATTTGCTCGGCGAAGATTACGCCATTCAAAAAGTAGAGAGCTATTGGTAAGGTATCTATACTATTTCTGTAAAATTTCATTTGATGTAATCGTTTTTAGTTGGAAATTAGTTCAGCAATAAAGTTCCATTCGTAGAGGAGAGCACAGTCGTAAATTTTTTTGGGTACCTTAACCAATAAGTATTAAAAGTTCAAATTGGAAGAAATCATAATTAAGTTTTGACTATAAGTTATGTTTGATAATGCACTGGCGACGGTAACATATCGCCCTTATTGTTGAATAAATTAGCAATATTATTATACGTTAGTAGGAATTGCTATGGACTACCCTATAGAACTTATAGAAAAGTTTACAAGTAGTGTACTTGCGAGAGTAGGGATCCTTTCAGGATCCTCACTAACAATTATTTCAAGAAGTTTAGAAACTACATAGATATACGTGAGCAACACGTTAGGTCTTCTCGTATAGAAAAACAATTCCCTGGGAGGTTACACTAACTAGTTTTAAATAAACAATCTATCGAACGAACAAAGCTAATATTTATGCAGGGTTAGTAACTATCGAATCAAAAATTAAAATACAAGCCTATGATTCAAGAAAATATGTTACTCTTGATTCAGGAAACATTTTAAGCTACAACGAGCATAAAGCGAAGTAATAGAAGAAATGTTAAGATCATTTTAGCTTATTGCAATCTTCAATATTATTTAAAAAATCGTAATGGACACAAAACTTTTGTTCAGGTTTACTTAGTCTCATTCCTTCACTTTGCTGTACTTGTCACTCATGTAGAGACCAAGAGCTTCATGTTATAATACTTGCAATGTAATAAACTGATCTATTGATAATGTTTAAACCTAGAGATTGATTAGGTTTGAAACGATGCATAGTTAGTTTCGTATCAATAAAGCTAAGCTTATGTTATTCTGCAGCGCTTTTAAGCATATCCCCCAAATATCACAATCATACTGCAAGTTAGAAATACGTAAAGATTTAAATTTATTACATCTGAATTATAACAAGGAATGAGGAAGCAGCTGAAGCTGGCTCAAAGGCAATCGTATATAATTTCTATCAGGAGCATATTAGCTACTAACACAAAAGGCAATGCGAGCGTAAATTTTTAAATAGCATTATCTAGGGAAACTATATAAGCTACATTCATCGTTAATTACTACAGAAGCACAGTGGCTGTCGCCAGAAATTTCAAAACAATAACGAAACTTGAATATACACAATTTATAACTAAAAACAGTACCAGCTAAAATTTATATAACCTAAAACCTAAGCAACGCAATAACAGGAGCTTGGTAGCTGGGCATTATCAATTAACACAAATTAAATTAAACTAGTACTATCCCAGTGGCTACAGCCTTTAGCTAAAGTCATTCGCATCCTCTTCAGTTCTTCATGGTATGGCTTGAAGCATTCAGCACACAAGCCAATCTAATTTGATGAAGAGATAAATAGATGACGATTTATTAATCGCTTATATATATGTTATGTTACGTTGAAGAGTTCATCCTAGTTTACCTTGCACGAGTCGCATTCCAATTTTGTTTGCTTTCTTTATTTGAACTTCTTCGCGCCGCAATGACATCTACGAGGTTTCTTCGATGGCACTACCAAGTGTATATCATTGTCTTCAAACCTATTTGAATCAAAAAGACGCTTTCGACTCCCTAGGAAAGTCGAAATTAGTAGCTTCACTAGTTTCGTTCGAAACTGCTTCGGTCCTCGCCTTCGGTGTTTCCCTGATCTCGTTGTCCTTCAGTGATCAGCAGATTGCAACAAGCAGACGAATGTATTTACAATCGATTGATCTAATAAAAACCAGAAAAGGTACTTCCATCACTTTCTGGACTTTCTCCTGGTAGGATAGGCAGCTCTGAGTTGATCAGTCCTATCCCACACCTCCCATAAACTTTACATAATGAGGTACAACTGATGGACTAGCGACCTCAATTGAATCACCAGATTTGCGTTTAAGTTTTATCGTTGACGCTTATGGATTCGTGCATGTAATAAACAAGGAACGAACTTGTTTATTATCATACCAAATTGAGGCTGCTAGTGTACCGCACTGTAAACTTTTACTATCACCTCGCTTCTTCACGATTCTATTACCACGCAATTCTCGAGGCCAACCTTTACGGTTTTGCCTGGCAGTTCCGCAGCAATATACCCCCTTAGATGGTCGCTCCAGAAATAACTCGGTACTCGTGAAGAAGTTATCCATGTAAAAATGAAAATTTCTCTCCTTCAAGTCCCGAGTTAAATCCTTCACGACTCTCGAACCAAGGCCTGTTTCTACACTACAGGATACCTTACCTGTGTACACTTTAAGTACGAAGCGTATCCTGAGTTAGGGTCTGCCCTCATTCGAATCTTATTTAGAAAATGAAAAATTTCAAATCAAAGATTCAATACGATTCTTATAATGAAATAATAACGGCGTAGTCAAAACTTGCGCAAAACTTAGAATGAAAATAAAATTTGCGTAAAATTAAAAATCATTAGATTAGTGTATTTTATATAAAGATATAGTTGAAATTTAAGACCTCGTTGAGGGAAGCTGCACTCTAAATTGTTTCTTGGTGATAAATACTATAATCACTACTATGCACTAATGTGTATTATATTCACCACCAGTATTTCGCAAAAAGAGGTAACTTTGAAAAGTATTAGCACTAAACTATTTAAACATTTTTAATTAACAGTTTCAGGTCATAGTCAGTTAGACTATTAGTGCAGCAGTGATAGGATTTGTTCTACGGTAGTTACTAGCTTGTTACATAACATCTTAATGGCATTACAAGTGATACTTGCTGCTACCCTACGCTAAGAAGTGTGCATATATGCATGTGTTGCACATAAACTATAATGTTTAATGGATGCCGTTTATTGTATGCAGCATGGCAACAGCTAATTTAGAAAGTATAAAATTTTCTCATCATTAGCCATAAGCGTAGTAGCATGGCAACAATGAATAATTTAACGCGCGATATATCAATTTTTAGACAGCTAAAATCGCGAATCAAAGCTGTTGTAGAAATATAACGCTATGTAACCATATCAGTACCACCAAGGTAATTCAATTTTCTTGCATTAAGAGTATACCATCATTTTAGTGCATTAGTTAATTACCATTCATTTAGATGGAAAATTTACTAGCAATGATATTATAGTTTTTCAATGAGGGTCTTGTATTTATTTACAATCACATTTTCGGAATTAACATTTTCGTACTTTTATCTAATCAAATTGAACATTTCAAACACTACCGCAGCATGACATCGTTATACCAACTTCGCTTCAAGATAATACCTCTATAATTCTGCTGGTAATGGGATTGGATTTCTTTTACTTCTATTTCGTGCAATTTTACTACACAGCCCAAATATAGTTACACTTAAAGTTTCTTAAAATAATATTTGAAGCTTTTGACTGTTCGATTAGCGTTTTATTGCATAGAATAACTCATTACTTATGCTTGATGATTATCCTAATAGTTTGTCTAGATTTTATAGCAATTTTTACTCGCTTCTATCTATCATCAACAAGTTTAGAAATATATGTATGTAAACTATTGATCCATATTTATTAAAACATCTTGCTTAGGGTGATTTATTTCGTTGATACTGGTACTTTATGAAAGATGTTCACATAGAAATAAATTAAATCTTCAATAGTCAAAAGGGTATCAGCATAGTTGTTACAATCGGTAAAATACTTGAATAGCTTTAATTTTTGAAGAATAAAACTATTGGGAATTTCCATTTTATTGTATAGAATATGATCAAAATGGATGCGTTGTACATAATCTTCTAGTCATTGAAGGTGAATATATGATCATTACTGTAAATATGATAGATAAAACTATCAGATCTTGTTTGCGATATTTTATCAAATTGCGACTAAAGCAGGGTAACAAATTGTAATAATAGTTTTTTAGTGTACTGGCAAGTACTGCTAATTGTGAATTAATAAGCATCAAGTGACCAGTGATTAAAATCAAGTATTACAAGCTAAGCTGTTGCTAAAGTTTGATACATATTGCAAGGCCGATTTTCTTGAGTTAGGTTCAACCTAATATCCCGGCAAAAATTGACTAATTTTGTCTAGTAGGCTGGACCATAACTTGGAGACCGGATTGGCGGCTAAATACATAAAAATGAATTTTTGAAATTATATGAATATCAATGATATTAAACGAATTTTATTTAAAGACGCCTTGAAAAGGATTGTACTATAATTAAACTGGTTTTAGCTAAAAATAACTTCAAATAACCCTCGCCACATAGCATTAGCATATATGACAAACGCATTTATTAAAAAGTATCCAATCCACCTAAATCATGAAATTCTATCGCTTGCATAATTCTGCATTATTTTGATGAACTGATGTAATTCTACTATTTTATAACGAACATTATTATACGTTGTCATGGTATATAATTGCTTTAACAGTTTATATCTTATCTAGATTTTCATTAGCTTATTTGCGATTAATATAAAAACATTACGCCTAATCTGCATGCAGCGTAGTCATTGCAGAAAAGTATGTTCGTCAAACCTTGATCAGCCCTTGGATCCATCTCACAGCTTTGCTGTACTTCCACTGTTGCAGCTAATACAAATGATATTAAAATTATGAAATCGCACCTAGTAATAAGTTACTAGCTAAAGCTCATAAATTTGATAAATCACAACAATTTCAAAAATATTTTTTATAAGCACTTATTTTGCTGGTCAGAAACCGTAGCTAAAATTTTCTATTTTAGCTGAGGATAAATAATATATAAGAAACTATCAGACTGTCTGATCAAGTGAAATTAGAAAATAAACAAATGTTGCTAAGCTTGTATTTGAGATGACGCATTTGAGTTCATTATATTTAAACAGCAAAAACATAAATATATAAATGTCATTGTTGATATACTAAGAGCCAAAAGTATGTTTATGCTAGAATGCTGTGATCTCTCGTGAAACTGTATCAATTTAATGAAATTGTTTACAATTATATCTACGGTATTTGCTTTTAGTAATAATCCTAGAAGATTTACTTTGCTCATGAAAAGCTGAAATAATTATATTTTTACGTATTCATATCATCGATCATAACATAGGCGTCAATCACTTTATTGGATGTGATTTACTAATAACAAAAGTTATCCATCAAATAATTTAGTTAAATTTTTGTATCATTCCAGATCGCACAAACTATAAGCTCATTCCTACGCTTATTAATCCTACAATAAATTGAAATATTTTTACTTTGGAAAAATATCTTTTCATTCATTTACACAAACAATATTTACCATTGCCCGAGTCGTGAATAGAAGCGCTTGAATGTTGGTTCATGGCTGAAATTCTGTCATTACTTCCTACAACCTAGATTATAAACTTGGCCTTCTTAAACATTTCTTCTAGGCAATGCGAATAAACTCACGACATTGAATATTATATGAATAAACTCATATTGAATATATCATAAATCATGGTATATCCATTTCTATTATTATTTATATGATATATATCCTAAATTAATTTTCAAAAACTTTTAACCTGATATTGGGCTAGTAAATTACGTAATTCTTACCCATGATTTTAATGAATCTAGAAGATGCAGCATATTTTCAGATAGGGAATAGCTATTGAAACCTTGATTATAAATTAGGTTGAAAGATCTTCTGCCACAGATATATGGGAATAAGTTTTGCCTTGTCAGATTATTGGTTAGTCCGTTTTCGATATCGAAATTTTCCAATAAAACTGGTATAATCGGCTTAGCCAGTTCAAATGCCCGCTCCAGTTCCTTACAGCAGCATACTGAGTCTGCATAATCTTGACTTAAACAACATATGAATATCTACAAGCATCAAGTATAGAAAATAGTCTTATGAATCACCGATACCTCGAACCATTATTCGTTATTCAATATCACTGCTATAGAAATATGGATAAGAATGATAAAAGATAGCCTGATCAACCTATGTTTTCTTCTGTTTGGTTATCTTTTTAGGGTTAATTGGAAATCTTAACAGACCTTTATCATTAATGCAAGTTTTCTAATCAATCATTGTTAAAAGTACCTTGGCGGAACAGATGTTATAATCCTTTTCTAGGGTCAAATTATCTCCGGAAAGCACTTGATTTTCGTGCATTCTTATTTTTAAGTTTGGAAATCTATTTTCTAAAATCTCTTTTATACACTCTGCTTGATCATACTTTGTGCTGTTAAAACTAATAAACACATCTACACCAGTAATGATTACATAGTATAGACCATATAAGATTTATGATAGCAGGTTTAATTTATTTTAATTTATAAATTTTTTACTCAACTATCGCTTATTATGATGGAAATTTACTGATTCATTTTAGTGTAATTTAATTTTACTTACCAATTATATCCATTTGCAATTACTGGAGTATTGAAGTCTTTGAAGAAATAGTGCAATAAGATTTAAAGTTAGCAAAACAAAGTAAAATAAAGTCAAGTTTTGCGTGTAATAAAATATCTCTTACATATCTAATAAAATCTCACTTAGTTAAATGTGTCAAGGTATGTATTATAACTTCCACTGAAATAGCTTGATTAGCCTGTTGTCGTTAGCTATAAAGAATTAATCTAGGATGGATGACTGTGAAGGAAATAGAATATGCCACTCGACAACCTTCCATGAGACAGAACAGAAGGTGAATATAAGGCTGACGGCTAGCTGCCTAATTTGACAACTTTATTATTTGTCATTAACGACTTATAGTTGGTAATTGTAGAAAACACTGCAAGTTACCATAACGGTAAATATTCACCTTGCTAATAAAGTAACTGTTGAAGATATGATACGGTAGAAATTGGAAATATTTCAAAGTTGTTAGAATAATCTAATTGTTAAGCTAAGGTGAAACTTTACATCTTCTACCTATCGTGCAAATTATAATTCTTCTGATAAGAATTGATCAGTTCTTCCTGATACTTTATTAATCATAAAAATTAACACATTACTGCTTCTGAACATAATTATGAGTATTAGTGTGATTGCAGTGCAGGCAATTAAGTAAAATATGAAGTATGAATACTAATAATGGAAGACCAAAAAATTCACTTTTAAAATTATAGACTACAGGGTAAAGAATGCTCAAACAACCACTAACTTACCCAATTTCTAGCATATTAGATTGAATTTAATGCATGTCACTCAGACGTAACTTACTAATTCGAACTTGATGACAGACATACCGTATGGTATATACGATTAGAAAATTTAGTCAATTACTGAGTTAAAATTTTAGTCATTGACGTAATAGTGCATTTTCTATATTGATCATAAAGCTCTTGCATATAGCCAATAACTGCCATGCTTAGTTGATGAGTTCAGTAAAGAAGAATCGACCTTGATTCAATCTGTAATGAAATTAATTATTATTTACTCACCTTCAAATTTGTTACTGAGTTCAAGTCGGAAAAACTGGACTCAAGTTTATCGACTAGATACTCGCAACTGCACAAGTAGAGTTCAGATGTTGTTTGAAAAAATTGGAATGAAGCGGCTTGTCAGCATTAGCAGCTATTGATTATCGTCATTTTGAATCACAATTGATTTCCTTTCTAACAGTGAACCTTAATGACCACAATTCCTTTCCTTCGTCTCATAATTATAATTAGCCATGAAGCAATCACATTAGGTCTATACAAATATTAAGTATCGTCCATGGACATAACAGAAAAGCTTTTTCCTTATACTTATCATCAACGTACGATACTTGCTCATATAGTCATGACTACTTCAATTAATTGTTATGATAATGCAATCCCATGGCTTTAACGAGATAATCTTGTCTTCTATAAGATCTCGGTTGTTCGGTTAAATGAATTAAAGTCTTCGATTGATATTTGATAATGCCAGGTGACTAAAAGTAAACAGTAGGTGAAAATCAATGCAAATCTACAACAGCCTCCTTTTCTGTATGCAGTTGGAAAAGGTTAGGTTTTTAGTACGAAATCTTGCTTTGACGCACCTTAATGAAAACTCTTCAATACTTGGTCTATATTTGCGTAGACTTGAGTAGCTAATATATAGCCGATATATTGTAAGTAAGGCTATTTATGTCATTCTGCAAATTCTACAATGCAACACTTGGATTCTTTAGCTGAACTTCAGCAAAGCTAAATTTTTTCTCAATTAACTCATATTTAGTCAACTGATACTATCCCTCCCAAAAGCTTAGATCTGTTTCATACCCTCTTATAGTCTACTTGAAATGTCATTAAATTAAAATTAATTTCAGGCCACAACAGCTTCCTTTCTGGTATGCAGTTAAAAAAGACTAGTGCAAACTCCCCGTCGCTTTACTGACGGTTTACGATAATGTGCTCATTTAACAGAGGTTCAGTAACTATCAGATCGCTGACTAACGAACATTATCCTCTTAGAAATACTTTTTGTAATATGATATATAGCAATCAAAAA